GCCTACCTTGGGTCTCACCTTCCCCTATACTTCACCATCTCTTGCCTAGTCTCCATTACTGTGGCTACCCTGGACTTTCTAAAGAACTCTAGACTCACTAGTATCTCTTCTTCCAAAAGGGCTTAGATAATGCTCTTCTATCTGCCTCAAATATTTTTTCTTATTCTTCTTCATCTTAGCATTTTCTTTTGTTGACATTTCCTTAAAATTTTATTGAAGATTTTCTAATTACTCAAGTAAGATATGAATACATTCTTCCTTACAAAAAATTATAACATTGCAGATAAATATAAAGTCAGGAAATAACTTTCCTAATCTTAGCACCATCACAAGTTCAGTTAGATTTGTTTTTCTAAAATCACCTTTGTTCCAACAGATGGCCTTAGAACTCTTGAGTCACTTCTCTTGTCACCTAAGGCTACTCATCTTAGGTTGCAAAGCCATCAATTATTTCACAATGCACATAGTGTTTACTCCTGCCCTACCCTTTTGCTCATACTTGCAATAATTCTTCACATACCAGCACTGAAACATATCATTCTCTTAGTTTCTTTTCAAATCAACTCAATCTATATTTTCTATTGCAGTTTGAATTAACAGGGAGCAGTCAGCCAAGGTGTTGCAAAGGATATCAATTGTATCATTGTCAAGAGCCCTCTCCAAGGAACACTTATTCCTTCAATTAACCATAGTCCATGGGCTGGCTTTTGGTATTACAGGATCAGGAGCCTGATTTTGCCAGAATCCCATAAAGAAAGCTACCATTCAGGGGTAGACTCACATTAGACACATAGATTCATAAGGCCAATTTTTAAATGTATAGTGAAAAATATCACTCTCCTAGTGCCATGACCAGTGCTGTGTCTCCTCAAAAGAGAGAAACATGAGAATCCAACTTAAATTAGAAATTGCTTGGTGCATATGAAATGAAGCTTAAAGGCTCTTAGAACGTGTCGTCAAGTCTCTTCCCAGGAAAGTGGTACCAACTTACGATCTCACTGGCTGTATATCAATGCCCATTTTAATACACTGTCCAACACTAGTTGTCAGGCAGACATCCATTCTCATTCTTTCAGTTGACATTAAATGACATTTTGTTTTTTTCATTTCATTTCCAACTTTTATTTTAAGCTCAGGGGTACATATGCAGGATGTGCAGGTTTGTTACATGGGTAAATGTGTGCCATATGGTTTGCTGCACAGATCATCCCATCACCCAGGTATTAAGCCCAGCACCTACTAGATATTCTTTCTGATCCTCTCTGTCCTCCCATCTCCTGCCCTCCAACAGGTCCCAGTGTGTGTTGTTACCCCCATGTGTCCATGTGTTCTCATTATTTAGCTCTCACTTATGAGGACATGTGGTATTTTGTTTTCTGTTTCTACATTAGTATGCTAAGGATAATGGCCTCCAGCCCCATCCATGTCCCTGCAAAGGATATGATCTCATTCTTTTTTATGGCTGCATAGTAGTCCATGGTGTATATGTACCACATTTTCTTTATGCAGTCTGTCATTGATGGGCATTTAGGTTGATTCTATGTCTCTGCTGTTGTGAATAGTGCTGCAGTGAACATAAATGTGCATGTATCTTTATAATAGAATAATTTATACTCCTTTGCATATATACCCAGCAGTGGGATTGCTGGGTTGAATGGTATTTCTGTCTTTAGGTCTTTGAGGAACCACCACAGTGTCTTCCACAATGGTTGAACTAATTTATACTCACACCAACAGTGTAAAAGCATTCTTATTTCTCCACAACCTTGCCAGCATCTGTTATTTTTTTACCTTTTTTTTTTTTTTTTTTTAAAGCCATTCTGACTGGTGCGAGATGGTATCTCATTGTGGTTTTGATTTGCATTTCTCTAATGATCAGTGATGTTGAGCTTTCCTTGCTCTGTCTCCCAGACTGGAGTGCAGTGGTGTGATCTCGGCTCACTGCAACTTCCACCTCCTGGGTCTAAATGATTCTCTTGCCTCAGCCTCCCACGTAGCTTGGATTACAGGTGCCCACCACCATGGCCAGCTAATTTTTGTATTTTCAGTTGAGATGGGGTTTTACCATGTTGGCCAGGCTGGTCTTGAGCTCCTGACTACCCCTCAAGTGATCTGCCCGCCTCGGCCTCCCAAACTGTTGCAATTACAGGCGTGAGCCACTGCACCTGGCCAGCTTTTTTTCATATGTTTGTTGGCTACATGTATGTCATCTTTCGACAATTGTCTATTCATGTCCTTTGCCCACTTTTTAATGTTTTTTTTTTCTTAGTAAATTTGTTTAAGTTCCTTATAGATGCTGAATATTAGACCTTTGTCAGATGTATAGATTGCAAAAATTTTCTCCCATTCTGTAGGTTGTCTGTTTACTCTGTTGATAGTTTCTTTTCATCTTAGCATTTACTACTCATTCTTTTGGTATCAACCAAACTTTAGGGAAGCTTCTCTGACCTTGCTGACTAGGTCAAGTCTTGCTGTGATAAACTTTTATCGCATCAATTACTTTCCCTCATAGCATTTATCACACTATTACAGGTTGACATTTATTTGTATAATGACTTGATTAATATCTGTCTTTTCCAGTAGAACGTAAACTCCTTGAGAACAAGCCTATGTCTAATATGGCTCACGACTACATCTTAGAACACTCTCTGACTTATAGTAACATATTAGGCATTCAGTAAGTAAGCAAATGGTAGGGGTGTTTCACAGGAAATTCTGAAATGCAAATTTTTTGAAGCTGCCCTATTTTAGGATGGCTTGCTTGAAGGCTTTTATTCATCCTTAATTGGTATGGTCAAGACGTGAGAATAGCTCAGATCTTGGACCATTGATCCCAAGGGTCACTCACCTCACCTATTTGCTATGTATGTACTTGGAGGCACTGACCTTGATGTTATTTTCTATTTGATTTTTTTCTAAGTATTCTCTTAGCCTCAAATTTAGCCTTAATAGCTTTACTTAGTGCTCTTTTCTGTCATCAGTGTAGACTTACAGATGTAAATTTTTTAATGCATATTTTGACCTAAATAAATGTTTTTAGGGGCTTTCAGTTTCATTACTGCCATTGGCACTTGTGTCTAAAGATCAACAATTCCTTATTGCACTGCCCAGTACCATTACTGATGTAGCCTCCAAGTAAGTGCTGAAGGGGGATAGAAATAAACACACAAGTTTGGTGGGAGAAGGCCTTACTAAAGTCAGTGTTCGAAAGAATCATGGTCCCTTAGTCAATTCTAAAGAACCAGTTTATAGACATGGAACCTGTGAAATGATGGCAAATCTTGTAACCTCAGGTACACACCATGTGGAAATTGAACCTAGACCTTCCTCAAAGAGAGGCTGTCATGTATATGGGTAAATATACCTTGGAGGGTGGAAAAGTCACTAACTTTTAGGGGATATTTGGAATCTAAATCTGAGTTTACTTGGATTCCTAAAAATGTAGAGAACCACTCTAGTCAGTATTTTAGGGCAAGGGATTATGCTGGCTAACTGAAAAGGTGTTTTAAGTTTACCATCAGGACCCAAAACTTACCATATAGTCTTTTGCCCACTAGGAGAGTATAGTTGGGATAGAAATCCTCAGCACGTGGCAGAATCCTCATTTCGAAAACAAAACACAAAAACCCTTAATAGTCCTTAAGGACTATTAGGGTAGCATCAACCAAGGGGAAATTATTTGTACTCTTTTCCCCACCAAAATATTAAGTCAGAAGCAAGATCACTTTTTCACGGGGAACTGCAGTGATTAAAGCTATTATTAAATATTTGTAAGATGCTGGCCAGTGATTTCTGTCCCCATTCAATATCTCAATATGGTCAGTGTAAAAACCAATTCTAACTCCAACTGCACTTTGCAATCTCCAAATGGCTTCTTTACTAGAATAGATGAATAAAGTTCCTGATTTCTGATCTGTAGTCCATGATATGTTGATCGTGCATTACTTTGTTCCTGCTCACTGGGACTATTAGGAGCAATTTGATTTCACCTGGCAGTAGCAACAGTTTGTTTACTCTGCGTTCTGTGCCAAAATCTGGTCCTCTGGAGCCTTGACAACACTGCATTCCTCCTAGGCCATGACTCTGTTGCAATACATTTACAACCTCAAGCTGATTACTCCTGTAGAACAGCAAGTGGCAATGCCCTAGTTAACTTAGGAAGAAATTAGAGTAAGAGATACATCTTTAAGAAATAAGAGAACCTACATCCTCTGTCCTAGAAAGAAGGGGGAGGTTCTAATGTCAATGATGTGACAGAGTATTCTCCCTAAGTGGAAAACAAGTTACGGTACCTAACATTAACAGGGAATCTTTCTGGATTTTGGAATTTGTGTGACCTCTGGCCACCTAATAGGTGACACAAAAATTTTCCCAGAGTAGATTAAGAGAAGGTTTCCAGCTAGTCCAGTCTGCAAGGAAAGCTGCCCTGCCAGGTGACATGATAGCCACACTGATCCAATAGTATCCAAGATGCATGAAACTGACCAAAGCTAGAGAGACTTGAACATAAAGGAGTTATGTAAAGTACTCTGGGGATTTGGAGCTAACTGATGTCACATTAGCAGTAACTATTCTCTTTTTGTGTAACAGCTCCTGTCTTGCTTCTAGATCCAAATATCCTCCCATTCCAGTAGGTGTAGCTAAAGAAAAAAAAAAAAAAAAAAAACCAAATATCTGATTATGAAGTCAGGTAAGTATGCAACCTGGGCTGCCCTGCGTGAATTGGGTGTCATCAGTTTCACAATCCATAAAACTAGGTTTATTCAAAAACACTCCAAGTGGTATATAAAACAACAGGATTTACAGGCCACAAGAGTTAAAGTATTATTTAAATGGGTTGCTCAACTGGAACACGGAGGCACAGGCATTTTGTATATTTATAGGAAGCATTAAATAAAGTCTTGTGGAATGAGAATGAACACATAAACCTGTTTCTAGCAATTAAAAGATTTCTACTAAATAGGAAGCAAATACTTTATTGAAGTAAATTTCACCAGTCATTAGGCTTCATTAATAATGTTTATTTTAAAGATCAACTTTTATTGTAACAAATATAAAGTCATCAATGTTTTACAAATTGTCAAAAATGCTTTAAGTACAAAAAAAATACATTAGTAAAATGAAAGTTATGTTGTATTATTTGGTGATACACTTAATACTGCCAACATGCACAACGTATGCCAGAAAAGCTCATGCATTATTGGAAGAGAAAAGAAATGTGATATAACTGCCATATTGTCTGATTATAAATTCATTGCTTCAGTCAGTTTTCTTTCTTCAGGGATACCATTTACCTGCAATGTGTAAGAATGAATATGGGCAGGAGTTAGTCAGGGCATGTATACTTTTAGATTTTGAGCAAAGCAAATTATGGCAAGGAGAAAGTTTCCATCTTCTTAATACAATGTAAAATAATTACATTGCATTATTTCTCTGTATTTCGTTTTTTTAAAAAACAGAAAGCGAAAGAAAAAATTCTAAATTAGTCTTCTCCTTCTTGGACCAAGGCTATAATATTTTGTATTTCCCAAAAGGAACAGTCTGAAAATTCCTCCCACAATAAACAAAAAGAATGAGGTTGATTGCAGGATATATAACTGTACCTTTTAATCGTGGCTTTTAAAAAAATATCATGTGGGCTGGTAGGGCAGAGAAAACGAGAAAACCTGAAGGGGCATCAAACCTAATGGTTTGGGCCTAGTCCAAAAGTTAGTGCGATTGTCAGCTTTTAACTGCTCTATTATCCCGGCTAGTGCTCAAGTCCAGGAGTACAACACCAGCAGCTAGTTCATTTCTTAGAGCTTTGATGGGAATTTAAAAGAAAACAAGTAACTAAATGAAAAAAAAAAAAAAAAAAAAAACTTCAAGATATACTTTCCCCTGATAAATTCCATATAGGTAGCTACAAATAAAATTACTTGATATCCAAGATGCAAACTCTTATGCCTAAATTACCTTCATAAAGAAAACTGACACGCACATAATGTTCTATGGTACTTGGAAAACTCCAGTTACTGTTCCATGACAATCGCATAAATGTAGCTGCCTCTTTGCAGTATTAGGATAATCAGGGTAAAAGAAAAGAAAAGCTGCTGTACTCAAAAATATATATAAACAGCACTGAATCCATGCATTTGCAGATAGAATAATTTAGAAATTGAGAAATAAAGTTTTTCATTTAAATGAACAGAATGGAAATAAGGAATGTAAACTGCCCATTAGCCCTTCTCTCCAGGAGGCATGCCTCCATTTAGGTTTTTGTTTGTTTGTTTGTTTGTTTAAATCCAGAGTCTGACTCTGTTGCCCAGGCTAGAGTACAATGGTGCGATCCCAGCTCACTGCAACCTCCACCTCCTGGGTTCAAGTGATTTTTCTGCCTCAGCCTCCCAAACAGCTGGGATTACAGGTGTATGCCACCATGCCCAGCTAATTTTTGTATTTTTTTAGTAGCGACGGGGCTTCGTCATGTCGGCCAGGCTGGTCTCAAACTCCTGACCTCAGGTGATCACCTGCCTTGGACTCCCAAAGTGCTGGGATTACAGGCGTGGGCCACCGCACCTGGCCTCCATTTAGCTTTAAATGTACCAGAGGCACAAACACACCAATCTTTCATAATTATAAAAAAAATGCTAGGGTGGTCTCTCTCCCTTTGGCACTTAAGATATTTGGGGACTCACTGAAAAAAACAACAATAACAACAAAACAACCAAGAGGAGATAGTGTACTTTAGTCAATAGTATGATCCAAATTGCAGAAAAATGTAAGAAAACAAGGTAATAGGCTCTAGTGTTAACTAAAAAGGAGAACAAAACTTTCTTGACTCAAGCAAAATACCTGCTCCCTAAAATCTGTTTCAGAAAAATAATTTTATAAATTGGGTTAAACAACCTTAAAATCCCCTAGGAAAACTCTTTGGCTCTTATATTTGTTTAGGCATAAATTGTCCTTGTATTTGGAAATGCTCTGTATTACTAAAATGTAGCAAGTTAACAAGAGCACTTGGTAAAATATCTATGTGACTACTAAACAAATTGCTCTAATATCATCTAGTCAAGTTTCCTAATTCTCCTAGTGGGTAAGTAAAATCTGGATTTTTAAATACTCAAAATAAATATTTACTATTTTTCTAGAAATTGCCTCCTTCCTACTCACTCCCTGCCTGAAATAATTAAGAATCAGGAGATAGACATCGTAGGACAGATGGAAGCTACAAGGTTAATAACAAAGAAGTTCTATCATTTCTATCGTAGAAGTATTCTTTTAGAAATTTTCCTCTTTAAAAAAATAACCATGAAATTAGTGGTAGTAGGGATTCATTTATCTTTTTTCTCTCTTTAGGTTACTCATTTTTATAACAAAGTTTGTTCCTTCATCAATCTCCTGAATGCTTACAAAGTAGCACCAACACATCAATATACTGAACAGTCTTGTTGAAACATGTTAGCATTTAATTAAAACAAGTAATCAAAATTGTATGGAAAATTCTGATAAACATTATCTTGTAATTAAAATCTGATGAACAATTTCATTATACTTGCCTCAAATCTTTGAAAAGTTGTCAAACGAAAATCTCCTTAAATTCACGAAAGCAGTAATAGAGAAGATAATTTCTGAATGAAAACATCCAATACATTTCTGTATGTGCCTGAAGTTTTTAAGAGATTTACTTTAACAGTTTCCCTACCACAATGCCACCATTCATACTCAGAATTCCACACCCAACTTACATTTTTAAAACTTCTCTTGCTTTTCCAAAAGAGCTACAAAGGCATTAATGGTTGCCTGGCAATTAGAACTAGGAATCAACCACTAATTAGAAGACAATCATGAATAAGTTATCTACTCAGTATAGAGATGAATGAAATAATTGGCTGTGGAAAATTTTTAGGGACACTTGAAAGAAATAAAGAAAGCAAGTCTTAGGGAAATAGAATAGTCCAAGGAGAATTGTCTGCCATCTTGTTGTCACTGGTCATGTTATAACAGCTTTTTAAAGCGGCTTTAAAACCAGGCCAGCCATTTCTCATTTATCCCCCTGAAGCCTCAGTGATTTGTCACAATGGTTTCCTTTTGTAAGAGTCAGTTTCAAGCTGCTCACTTACTGAGACAAATCCTAGATGCATCCAAGCTAAGAATCTTTCATACCAAGGGGGAAGAATAGAGAGCTTCACTGAAGGAAGGGGTTTTATTCAGTCTTCCTTAATTAGACAGGACCTCCATGGATGCTTTTGCTCTAAGATCATTTACCCTGTGTTTATCATTCTGATGCCAATCTATGTAATAATCTAAGCCATTATTCTGAGGTTTTAAGTCTGATTAAGGAATGACACAAGTGTTTTGCCTTATTTGGTGAAGCTAAAGCTTCATAAATTATATAGTGCCATAATTATCTTTTAATCTGTAGATTCATTCATAAACATCAATTTATTATTCTTAGCACTCACCTGTAGTCTGCTGTTGGGGAATCTGAGTCTGATGTGGCAAGTTCCTAGAAATGATGAACATTTTTGAGTAAAACTGTTTGTTTACACACTTGTAAATAGAGAGCAGACATACTAGAATGAAAAACTTTATTGGTAACTGACCCCAGTCATGTAATCCAGCACAATTCCCCTCCCCTTTCATGAGCTTACAGATGAGGAAACTTGAGGTCTGAGGAAGATAAAAATTAACAATATTTGATAACATGCATGAAATTTTTACTACAGGCTATACTCTAAAGTACCTCACAACAACCCTAAGAGGTAGGTGTTAATGTTTTCCCCATTTTATGGGTGAAGAAATAGCCTTGGAGATCCAAGGCTACATAGCTAGGACATGGTAGCTAAGATATGAACACAGTGGCTTATGCTCTTAACCTATACACTTTCAGATCCAGGCCTAGAAGATATAAACATGCTCACATATTTTCATGGAACAACATATATAACCACCTTCATTCACTATCCCAAACATCTGTGCTCTTTTATCTTCATGTCAGGCATGCATCCAGATGCATTGGCAGAATGCAGAAGTCATCCTTGTTCCTTCCCTCTCCTTCAGTCTCCACATCCAACCACTTAGGGACTTCTGACATTTCTTTTCGTCTTATTTGGATCTGCCCCATTCTTCCCCATCTCCATTGCTAACTTGGTTGAAGCCATCATCATTTCTCACTTGGATCCTTGTAAGGGGGTTGACTTGTTTCCTCATTTACATTCTTGTCCCCTTATAATCCACTCTGCACATTGCTGTCAGAATGCTCTTCTAAGACAGGGGCCCCCAGCCCCTGGGCCATGGAACTGGGCTCCATAGCAGGAGGTGAGTGGCAAGTGAGCCAGCGAAGTCTCATCTGTATTTACAGCTGCTCCTCATCACTCGCATTACCACCTGGGCTCTGCCTCCTGTCAGATCAGTGGCAGTAGTAGACTGTCATAGGAGCGTGAACCCTATTGTGAACTGTGTATGCAAGGGATCTAGGTTGTGCACTCCTTATGAGAATCTAATGCCTGATGATCTGTCACTGTTCCCCCTTACCCCTGATGGTACTGTCTAGTTGCAGGAAAACAAGCTCAGGACTCCCACTGATTCTACATTATGGTGAGTTATATAATATTTCATTATATATTACAATGTAATAATAATAGAAATAAAGTGCATAATAAATGCAATGCCCTTGGATCACCCCAAACCATCCCCCACACCTGGTCTGATATGAAACCAGTTCCTGGTGCCAAAAGTTGGGGACCAGTGTTCTAAGACACAAATCTATTATGTCATTTAAATAACACACATTTAAGTATTTCCTTGTATCTACCTGCAGATTAAATTTCAGATTTCTTAATGTGGCCTGGAAAGCCACAATATATCTCGCTCCTACATGGAGTGCCCCATGTCTGCTTGAAGCCGACAACCAACCACCATGGCTACTACCATGTCCTGTACCCAATCAGCTCCCATTTGTCCTTGCAAACTCAACTCAGAACTTGTTACAGCATACAGGTTTTACTCTTATAATTTAAAAATTCCCATAAGAAATGTTATTAAAATTTTTAATGTATTATTTAATTTAAAAAATCTCAAGAACCACCTCCCTATGCATCCTTACTCTCTAAGCAACCCACAATTAGGTTACCATTTAGCATGCTTTCATTCACATGCTGATTGTCATTGTATTCTCTGTACATAATATTTAATTGTCCTAAAGTATATTAACAGTAAGAACTATCATATTTTGTTTAGTATCCTCAGCAGTAAGCATTATAAAGTATACACATTTATTAACTTACAGATTTAGTTTCACATTTTGATATTAAAATTAGTTTATGAAAATGTACAATTTAGGTTCTGTATGGAAGAAACTCTAAGAGTCAGTCCTTTGTAATAAAGTTTGATCCATGCTGGGGATTTTCAAAGTTTTTTGTTTTCTCTTTAGCACTGGGATTTCTCTTAATTGAAACCCTAAGCAGAACTGTGATGTACAAAAGAGATAAATGTGAGGTTGCCTGGGTTGAAACAAGGGAGTTAGGAATCCTGTCCGCTTTGTTTTCTTTGTCCCTCATGCTGGCCCCTGCAGCAATTCTAAGAAATCTGTAAGAAACAGTTTGAAAACCATTGATAATATTTCAGCCAGGCAAATATTATGTTCCAGATACAACAATCTAAAGTGGAAAACAGTACGTGCTAGTTAAATACTGTTTAAACTCTTAATTTAATCTATAGTTAACACCTTTGAGCGATTTTTTTTCAATGTTTCAGTTCCACTTTAAAGATATTACTAAGGAAATAATAAACTCTAACACAATTTGAGGAAGTTACTTAATAATTCATCCCAATGATTATATTCTTTTTTATTGTTACTTATCAGCCTTATCCTTGTGTAGGCTAGAGGAGTATTTCTTTTTTAGCTTGTTTGTTCTTTCAGAATTTCACACTATGTATTTATATTGATTTTGGTCACAAAAGTAAAAAGATAAATTTATAAACTACGAAGAGGGAATAAGTTCTACATTTAAAGATGGCAAGGCAAACATCTTTACTACAGAAGTCAAAATGCAATTAGATGGGTATCTGGCACAGGGTGGGAGGATGTGTTTTACTTTATCTACTCAGGTATAACTGATCTGGGTCTATTCTACACTCAGAACGAATACAGTGCACCCTCTACACATAGGCACACACCACACACAAGCACTTCCTCATTCCTTACCATCTGCAGCTCTACCTAGCCTGTTAGCAGATTGAATCAACACATTTCAACAAAATACAAAAGAAAGTATAGAATGTAGGTGTTCTAACATAGGTAGTGGTTAGTAAAAAAAGACACATGTTTTCCAAAAGCACTAGATTAAGGATCCTCCAAATTCAAAATCAGCATTTGGATGAGGTTGTTGGATGACCCCTACTTCTCTTGTTGGCCCTCCCAACTGACCTTTCTGTGGAATTTAGCTTGAAAACCACTGATCAGAGTCAACCTATGCCTTGTCGTTTCTTCTCTAGTCTCTGTTTTTTCCTCTTTTGCTACATTGCTAAACTTTCTAAATCACAATGGGCTGGGCTAGGTGAAAAGAGATGGCTGGTTGAGAAAAATGCCACACACAAACTAGCAAGAAATTTGGAGAAGATGCATAAGAAAGCAACTGTATGTCTTACATTGATTTAGGGACTGAAAAGTATCCATAGTGTGTGTTCTAAGTGGTTGTGTTTGAACAATGCACATGCACTCCTTGCAATTTCAAAGGAAACTTAGATGAGTTATATTAAAAGTGCTTATGTGTGCAAAAAGGTGCTCAACCAAAAATATTCTGAGATTCAACTTCCCCTGATTGGGTACACCTATCTGTTTTGAAGGAGACCCTTGAGTCTCCAAGATGTGTGCACATAGCTCTGTTTTTGTGGCTTCCCAAACTTGTAACTACATGCGAACCTGTAAGTATTAAAGTGTGAATACATCTATGATGGGCATATTTAAAACTGTGTATTCCATTTAAGAGTTGAAGGGACATATTTCATAACAGCACTGCTTCAGGCATACTGGAAAAATGCCTACAATCCCAACTCTGCTAGTTAAGATGCAGAGAATGCAGGAAGAAAGTGGGGAATTCTCATCTTTGGTGAGAGCAGGCTGCTAAAGGCAATTATACAGGAGGGGGCGTCGACTTCAAATAGAGGCCGTATAATCCTTCCAAGAAAGGACCTTAATAAAGTCATAAAACAATTTAATGATTATTAGACTAAGTGAAAAGTTATTACGTATAAACTGTATTATGTAGAAATTTAAGAAAACTGTAACTCTCTAAATTATTAGCATTAATTATTTTCTCATTTTGTTTTCATTAATTTCATGCATTTAAATAGAAAATTGTGTAAATCAGTCATTGCACAAACTTCATTCTTTAAGAATGCAAGAGCAATAACTTGCAAATTAATAAATAAGTGATTTGGGGCAGTACACAATTATTTCTTATTTGTACAACCATTTTAAAGTAATTTGACATTCTTGGATACCCTATACAGTAATTCAGTGAGTAAAGTTGATGATTATCAACTGATTATATTGCTACTTGTTTCAGACTAAAAAGCAAAATGATTTGCATAAAGTCACAGAATCCATGCCAGAGTTGAAAGAAAATGACATTAGTTGTGTGAAATACAAAACATTTCACTTTTCAGTTAGTATGGTGGCATCATTTAACAATAAGAAATAGTTATGTATTTTTGGAAATCAATGGCTCTGAAATATTCTTGGCTGCTTGATACTTCTCAATAGGATACCATAATCTTAGTCCCCTGAAACATTGTCTTCAACTGATACTAACTTTTATTAAAACTTAATTTTTATTTATGGACTTTTACCATAAAGTTAGTTGTCACTGTGACCAGAAGCAGGACAAATGGAAAAATATTTAAATAAAAGCTAAAATTATTAGATACTGTCTTCAATTAGAAGACTTAATTCTACTTTTATACTTGTTAATTTTCAAAAGATTAAGTACAACCTATCTCCTGTTTTGAGAGAGAACCAATTATCCTGGATTAGGAATTATGTTTAGAATAATGAATAAGGAAAATTTTTGTGTAGCAAATTAGTATCTTCCTGAAAAATGTGTGGAGTACCGTCCCCAATTATTCATTACCTACGGGGCCTCATGAAGATGCCTACCACTCCAAAAAAATCAATTGGTATTGATGTTGGCATAAGAAAAGAATAGTGAAGAGGCAGATCTTTCCCCAAAAGACAGCATACCTCACTACAAATTTAATATAATAAGTTATTTTTTAGAAAATCAAATATTTGGGATCCTCCAGTCAATGCCCCTTTCCCCAAGCATAAGACTACAAAATAACATTTTTTCAATGGATTTCAGCTGTTCCAGGCACTGTTTTCTGATTAGCTCTCATCTCTCAACCTCTCCACACCATTTTCCTCAGGCAGTTTAGGGAGGTGTGGAAGAGTATAGAGGCTGAGAAGTATAAACTCCCAAACAGCTCCAACCTCCTAGACAATGT